TGGAAGAACTTTAGCAATTTTTGAATCCATCAGACATTAAAATTCTTTGTTCTTTCTTAGCTTTCCCAGACAAATTCAGGAAATTCTTACTGGAGCACGAAAATACTTCAACAGAAGATGGAAAAAATAGCTTCAGCCAAGATGAAAATGAAAACTCAAGAAACTGTGTATTACAAGCTGCTTCAAGTGACTCACAGGTTATAAAAAAAAGACAGTTGCGAAAGAGGATGTGAACAGACACTTTACCAAAGGAGACATACAGGCAGCCAACAGACACATGCAGAAATGTTCATAATCATTAACCATTAGAGATGCAAATCAAAACAACAGTGACATATCCACTCACCCCAGCAACAAGAGCAGAGTTCAAAAAACAGGAAACAACAAATGCTAGTGAGGATGTTGAAAGACTGAAACACTCCTACACTGCCGGTGGGATGGTAAAATGGAACAACCACTGTGGACAATCACTCTGATCAGGATCACAACAGAAGTTCCTAGACAGAGGGGGAGGGAGAAAAATGTAGAACAAAATTTAAAACCATAAAAAAGATCAAATTTATTGGCCTGATAGAGACTGGTAGAACCCCCAAGACTGTGATTCGTAGATACTGTACAAGGCTGGAACTGAACCTATTTCCAGGGATCGACTTTCAGCCAAACAATAGGCAGACCTATAAAGTGAATAATAACAGCAGGGATGAATATGTCCTCAGTATAATCCACCACAGGAAACCAAAAGAGCAGCATGTACCCAAAAACAAAGCTCAGAAGGTAGGAAGGGGATGAAAGAAGGGTGAATGGAAATGGGGAACCCAGGGAGAAAGTGGGAAGAGTGCTATCACATTGAGAGGACTGCAACCAACGTCACAAAATAGAATGTGTGTAAATTGTTGAATGGAAAATTAACTTGCTCTGTAAGCTTTCACCCAAACCACAATAAAAAGTAAAACATAATATGCAAACAAAAAACCAGTTAGCCAATTGAGTTGGTTCTGACTCATGGCGATACTATGTGTATCAGAGTAGAACTATGATTCACAGGATTTTCAAGGCTGATTTTTTGGGAGTAAGTCACCAGGACTTTATTCCAAGGTGCCACATGATTATAACAGTATTTAAATCAGGTAAGTTATGTGAACATGCTGTGTAACCATAAAGTGTCGTGTATTTCTAAGGAATTATTGCTTACCTAGGAATCCCTGGGTATTGCAAATGATTAATGAGCTTGGCTGCTACCCTAAAAGTTGTAGGTTCAAGATCACCCGGAAGCACCTCAGAAGGATTCCTGGTTGTGCTCTCTGGCCTCTGCCAAATGCCTCATTTCCTATCAAGAAAAGGAAAGGTACTCCAGAAAACTTTACACTCGCCCTCAACGAATTTTTGTGCCAGGTACGCATTTCCTTTTCTTATGTTGTTGAAGTTTCTCTCCGCTCACAGAGCTCTTATTCCTATACCATGCACTCTACTTTTCTAGGAAATAATAAGGCTGTTATAATACCCAGTGATTTTTTTTTTTTCTGAAATAATTTCTGTGTCTTTATACTCTACCCACATGCTGGCCACTTATGGTAGTTCATGCACATTTTGTTTCATGACATTAATTGCAATCCCCACAATGTAACAGCACTCTTCCCACTTTCTCCCTGTGATTACCATTTCTCTCTGTCCTTCTTTCCTGTCCATTCTTGCCTTCTGAGTTTTATCCCTGGGCAAATGCTCCCTTTCAATCTCTTAAGGTTGATTTTTCTAAGGAGTGTGTACTTCCCTGATGTTATTGTTCACCTCATAGTTGTGTTATTTGGATGAAAGTTCAGCCATGCAAGTGAGTTCAGATCCAGACTTGAAGGGTTTCACCAGTCTCTATCAGACAAAGTAGGCCTGGTCATTTTATTATTTTGAGATTTGTTCCGTCTTTTCTCCTACCAAGTGTTGGCTATCCAGACTCTCCTATCATGACCACTTTCAGAGTGATTGGCAATGGTAGCTGGGCATCATCTAATTCTTGTCTTGGCGTCGTGGGGGCTAAGGTTCACATGGTGCACTAGTCCCTTGGACTAACTGTGTTCATGCTTCTCTGATTTTCTTCACTCTTCTTTGCTCCAGACAAAGAAAGACCAATAGTTGCACCTTAGATGGCTGCTTGCATTAGCTTTTTTCTCTTCATATTTATAACGTGAGTCCGACATCCTCAAACTGCAATTTCAGTTAGCTTATAAACTACCAATCTTTTGTCTTCACTATCAGGCTCTGTGTTGACATTTGCTATTTGTGTTATCTTTACATTGGTGGCATTGAAGTAATTAGTTTTTAATTACTTAAATGTCTGCTTACTACTTGGTGGAAGAAGGATGCTTATATTTAAGCAGTCACATTTGTACTCTAGTTCAATATAAGAAAAATTAAGTGTTTATAGCCTCTAGTATTTTTCACTGAGATCATGAGAACTGTGCTGGGTTTTGCCAAAGTCATGTAATTCTGCTAAGTTGTCAAGTGTCTGCATGCCAAATTGAAAGTGGTTTTCAAACATGCTTTATGGCAGTTATTTATAATGTTAAAAGATATTTTATTTAGGGGAAAATTCTTATTTATTAAAGTGGTTTAAATAGATTAATATTTCCAGAGAGTTTAATGGATATTTTTTAAGAAACACTGCTAATTATCATTTAAAAAGAGGATCAAAATAAATATATTTTGTGGTAGTAAATGTTTGATAGAACTATAATTAGAAAAATGTAAATATCATAGAAAATAATCACTTTTACATGATG